TTCTTTTCCCCACCTCGACTCCACTTTGCGGCGGCGGCATCCTCCTCCTCCAGCGCTCAACCACGGGCCACCCTACTTCTCCTCCGGCGAACCACCTCTGCATAGCCTCCTCCTCCAACGCTGCTCCTCCTCAAGCTCTCCTCCCCGTTCTTCTTTCCCATGGAGGCACAATGTCGCAACTGTGATGGGGCGACGCTGTTGACGGCAGAAACACCATGGAGGCCGGCCACATGAGATGGAGGATGCACTTAGGCGTAGAGCTTGTTCAAATCTGGTCTATAATGTTTTGATGCGTGGATTGTATGGTTTTTCCACTGGTTTATTTTAAATCTGGCCATAATTCTATCAATTTTCGTTTAAATTTTAAATTTTGATTTGGCATTTTCGTCCGGAATTTTCCGAGATAAATCCGAAAAACCGAATTTCGCCCATTTCACCCAGGCCCGGTAAATTTTGCAAAACGAAATTCGAAATTCTGGGAGCGACCCGCCCGTCATGAACTCGAAGACCAACATTCGGTGTCTGTCCTCTTTGCAGTAGCCGATCATACGGACCAGGTTCCGGTGGTGGATCTGCCCGATGGACTGCACCTCGTTTGTGAACTCCTGCTCGCTGTACCCATTGGAATCGGTGAGCTTCTTCACCGTGATGAGATGCGGCTGCGGCAATCTTATGGTCCCTTTGTAGACCTCCCCGAAGCTCCCTTTGCCCAGCAGACCCTCGAAGCCATTGGTGGCTTGGTAGAGCTCCTTCCAGCTGAATACTCTCACACCGGAGTTCAACAGCCGCTGGCTACCACTGTTCCTGACGAGGTAATGTTGTGCCACGAGGCCGCCGGTGGTGATCAAAAGGAGACAGGACATGCAAACCGTGACGATCTTGTAGGGACTTAGTGTCTTTCTCCTTCTCACCGACGGTCCGTCTTCTGTGTAAGAAGTATTCCGCACTTTGATCAGTGTCTTCGTCGTGATGGTAAGAATCGGAAGCGTTCCTACTCCTCGATGAGGAGCCGCGTTTGGTTTATATTGATATGAGGCAGAACAGCCGTGCCTTGGCTTACAAGTTGGAGAGACCGATCACTTTGGATTCAGGTCGTTACAAGAGGTATCCTGGATAGCTACGAGAGAGAGAGAGCGAGAGAGAAAGATATGTTGGTTGAGATTACAAAGTAGAGATAAATTCTAACACATTCCCTTAATCTCAACTATCCTAAGTTTAGTTTACTCTTGAACTCTTCAAATGGTTTTGCTGGTAATGCCTTGGTGAAGCCATCTGCTACTTGATCTTTCGAAGGGATGAACCATACCTCAAGTTTCTTCTTTGCAACCCTTTCTCGCACAAAATGAAAATCAATTTCAATATGTTTAGTCCTTGCATAGAAGACTGGATTTGCAGATAAATATGTGGCTCTCAAGTTATCACACCATAGGCATGAGATACGATTTAGTTTGATTCCCAATTCCTCAAGTAGTGACTCTAACCAAATGATTTCTGCAGTAGCATTTGCTAGAGATTTATATTCAACTTCTGTGCTTGATCTGGACATAGTAGCTTGTTTCCTTGCACTACAGGAAATAAGATTGGAACCAAAAAATACTGCAAAGCCTCCATTTGATTTCCTGTCATCACTGCAATCTGCCTAGTCAGCATCCGAAAATGCACTAACAAGTGTAGAATTAGAACACCTGAAATTAAGTCCCAATCCCAATGTATGCTTTACATATCTCACAATCCTCTTGACAGTTGTCCCATGAGCAGTAGTAAGAGCATGCAAATACTGACAAACTTTGTTAACAGCAAGGATATATCTGGACGTGTGAGTGTTAGATATTGCAGTGCTCCCACAACAATTCTGTAAATTGTATTTTCTTCCTCCTGAAGAGGCTCTCCTTCATATGCTGAGAGTTTTTCTGGGGAAGATAACGGTGTGGAGGCAGGCTTGCAGTTTTTCATTCCCATACGAGCAAGAAGTTCATTTGCATATTTTTCCTCATTCAACACTATGCCATCTTGAGTTTTCTTGACCTCAATGCCTAAGAAGAAATTCAAATCTCCTAGATTCTTCAAGGCAAATTCTGAGCTCAGGTCATGCATAAGTGCATTAGTAGCATTCTGTGAGGAGCTTGCAACAATAATGTCACCAACATATATGAGCACAAAAATGAGTACCTTTGCCTTGTTATAAATAAACAAAGATGTATCAGCCTTTGATGCAATGAAGCCAAGACACTTTAACTGAGAACTCAGCCTAGCATACCATGCTCTAGGTGCTTGTTTCAACCCATATAATGCCTTGTCAAGTTTGCACACATAATGTGAAGTTTTCTTGTCTACATACCCTAGTGGCTGTCTCATGTAGACCTCCTCTTCCAGAACGCCATGCAAGAACACATTCTGTACATCTAGCTGTCTCAAACTCCAGCCCCTGAATACAACAATAGCTAAAACAAGTCTTATAGTTGCAGCTTTCACAACAGGGCTAAAGGTATCTTCATAATCTATACCATAGCGTTGTTTGAAGCCCCTTGCAACTAGACATGCCTTGTACCTGTCAATAGATCCATCTGCCTTGTTTTTTATTCTATACACCCATTTACAATCAATAATGTTTTTACCTCTCTGACCAGGCACAAGATGCCAAGTCTTGTTCTTCATAAGTGCAAAATATTCCTCATCCATTGCCTTCTTCCACCTCGGATCATCTAGTGCATCATTCAGTGTTCTCGGTTCACCTAGAATACACAACATTCCATATCGTATAGTGCCATCAGTATGGATTTTTGGATTCTTTATACCTTTTGCAACCGTGTCATCACTCGTGTAGATGTTGTTGGTTGTGTATGCCTGAAGACAGGAGAGCTGTTCACAGAAGATCCAGATGGATCTGCTGCATGCGCCGGCGCAGATGATCCTGCAGAATCCTGTGTGGCCGATCCTGCGGAGGTTGCATTGGTGGCCACAGAATCTGCAGTTGCAGGCGATCCCACATCCACTGTAACCTGCATGCGGGTGGACCGCGAGGCAGATTCGGGCCCGCTTGATGGCGACGTGGCGACGCGCGGCTGGATCGGGCAGGACTCCCGCCCGCGTCTGTCCAGAACATGATCCGAGGCGGATCTCGCCCTGCGATCCGAGGCTGATTGGCGCACAGGAGTTGTGGGCGCCGCCAGATCGCCTCCGTTTTCCGC